TGCGAAAATTCAAGCTCGCTTGGAGCTCGTTTTTGGAGCTCGTTTCGAGCTCGAACAGGCGGCCAAATCGAGCTCGATTCGAGCTCGTTTTGCTATAAGGGTGTCTGAGACATGACGATGGCTTATAAGTGACTGTCAAGCGCGTCCGCTTGTGGCATGATTGAGCGCTTTGGACTAAGGTCACCTGCCGTGGCGAACCTAAGTCACCCTCGAGGAACTGCGACTAGTTTGGCGAGCGCGTGGACTCGCGTGGGTCTGTCCTCTAACCAGAGGTTTAGGGTCATAGCGTGCGCACTGTCATCAGCGAAGACATATGACTTTGAGGCAATGCACTGTTGAAAAATGAATCACTGTTCGCAGTCGGCCGCAGGCGTGACGCTTCCAGATAGCCTGCAAGGTTGCTGACATTGGCTTAGGCTAGACTCCTAACACAAACGCTCCCTGTTTTTCTTACAGGGTTATTCGTCTGTGCAATTCTGTACAAACTTATGTTCTGCATTCTCTCTCCGTGGGTGGTTTCAAAAAGCGTCGAGATAATCATTGGTTAAATTTCAGCCAGATTTTTCCAAACTCCAGGATGCCGGCGTAGAAACGTTGAAGAAGGCATAATTTTCTACCGATTATAGTACAAAAAAATACTACTTTACTCACTTTTTTTCTATGCAGTACAGTTTAACTTATAAAGGCGTCTAAAATCTATAGCAAAATTATATATTACTTAAGTGGTCATTCCTTGTCAAGTACGGTTTTCGCAGACGACTGAAAAGATCTGCTTTCCAAAGTCAGCATCCTGCCCTAGTAGAATGACAGTGCGACTCTAGCCCTAGTTTCCTCGCTCCATTCGAGCTCGCAATTGATTGGTTGTTGGGTCTTTTACCCTAGCGTAATTAAAGGCGCCAACCAATGAGCGCACAGCTGTCCACCTGCGAGTGGATTATCGATTCCACTGCACGTTCAGCGGCCGGGCGAAGTCGCCAACTCACGTTTGACGTGGCGCTTCCACCCCAGTCAAGCCGCCATGCGCAAGCTAACGAACGCTGCAGAATCGTCTTCGTCATCGGAAGAATATTTTTCTGATACGGAGTCCCCGTCTGATTACGAGGAGTTGCCGTCCTCGGTGGCTGAATAAAAAAACTCCACATGCACGCCATCTACGTCAACGCAGTTAGCAGAGGCCCAGACGGCATATCGTCGTGGGCAAGTGGGCAATTCTCTAGCGAATCCGCCATGGCGTATCCGAAATATTATGAGGTTGGGCCGCAAGAAGATCGATCATTCAACTCCACTCATATGATCCCTCCTAATCGAGAACGCATTTCAGAATTACAATTAACATTAAATGGGATTAGTCACCGAGCATACATGCTTACCTCATCAATACTAAGATATTTTGACGGTTTGTGTGAGCCACAAAGAATTTTTTTAAAACAGTCGTCCAGCTTCCCTTACGAAAAAGTAAAGTTGGAATCGTTTTCAGCCTCAAAAACTGCAATAATGTCCTACATTCTGTGTAAAACCCTGCAAACTAGTGATTAAGAAATTAAAGACTGCGAAGAAAGCCAACCTTTTAAACAAAAGGAGTAAAAAAAGGGCTGTAACGGCACCTGGATCGCTTTTGAACTACTACTCAGCTTTCGTCCGTCCTCAGTCCATTTTCGGATTGTCTTCATGGAAAGAAGGACTGTATTCAGGAGAACCCGGATGCCGGACTGTATCTCTTCCAGCGACGGTTTCAGCACCAGCTTATCGCCATTGAGCAAAATTTCACACTTGACGACTGGGTAGGCCTGAACACCCGCTACAAAATGTAATAACGCAGATAATTTGATCACGGGGCTATCGACAAGCACACAAGGCCAATTTCAAGTTTTTCAACTATAGAGTATACAGCGGGGAAGTTAAAGCAGCATTGAATTCGCTGCAAAGACTGGAGTCGTAGTCGGACCCCCAGTATGTGCTCGACCATTCGCTTTCCCCCCCTACTCCCACCTCCAAAATGCAAATATTCGCTGCCATACGTCAGGAAAAATTGGATTATGAAGACATCGGGTCCTAGTAGCAAATCCGCAACGACTTAAGCGGATTGGACACCGACTTTGCCCGACTTCTTGTGATAGGGATGTGGTGAAACGTGATTGGTTAAGTCGATTGAGCTCTTCGCTCTGTCACTGGCTGTCCACTTTCCGCGCATTAATGACGCACATTCGCTCACGCCAGCATTACTGCGTGCTTGTAGCATTCAGCGATGCTGCCCATAAAAGCATTTAAGAAGTACAGTTTGGCGGACTTACGCTTTCGGGTATTCACAATCAGGCCTTTTCAGTAATATATGAGAGGGTAGGTTGACAAAAGTTTAAACATCCAATAAACATTCGTGGCTCAAGTAGGTAGAGCGTTGGCTTGCGTAAAAGGCCTCCCTCCTATGC